GATAAATTAACTTTCCCATATAGGGAAAGTTGCCAATACTTGAATAGAACAAAAATACCCTTTTTAATAATGAAATTTTTATGACTGATGGTTATTGCCTTATTTACATGGGAAATAAAAGAACATGGATAAATGCATTTACCCAGATAAGTGATTTACCGAAAAATGAACGGGACAAAAGAAATACAGTGACAAAGGGAAACCTTGCCTTAGTCCCCTTTGTGGATGAAAGGAGGCTGAAGAATAATCATTTAGTAGAATAGATCAGAAAAAGAGACTATAGATACACAATACAATTAGGTTGCAAAAAATGCTGGAAAAGCCTCTGAATTGAAATGCTTTTAATGAAAATGACCATTATAATCTGTTATAGGCATTAGAAAGTTGAAATGCTTATAACGAAAATGACCATTCTAATGTGTCATATGCCTTAGAAAGATGAGTTTAAAAACGAAAGAGTCAGACCTACCTCTCTTATCCTTCTTTAGAGTGAACTGCATTGGACACAATAATTCTATTTATCTTCTGTTGTCGGCCTAGTACAAAGGCATTTTGAACATGTACTGAACAATAAAAATGAACTCCCCAACCCCAACCCCAACCCCCTCATTTATGAGAAAACATTTCATGTGATCTTGTCGCATATAGGGGTGCTAGTGAAAAATCAGAAAACCTAAAAACTGAACCAATAAGCCAGAAATCATTTTTAACTGCAAAATCCAGTTAGACAAACTCCAAACCCGTATTCAAAAAACCGATAGTTAATCATTCTAACTATTAACCAATTGATTCTATTCACTTTTAATTGGTTTAAATTTTTTAAAAGACTGATAGGATCAGTTCGATCATAGTTCGATTAACCAAACCAATGAAACGTAAAACTCACCGGCATCTGAAACCAAAACCAAAACCAAAAGTTAATTGTAATTGATGTTATGGTTTGAATTTAGGGAGAATTACGGTTCAGCCTAGGGTCAGAATTTGTAGGCTCAAAGTATATTTTGGATAGGTATCAGTTTGGAATTGATGTCAATTTATGGACGAATATGAGTGCATAGAGTGTGGGGTTTTGACCTTTTGAATGTTTTTAATTTTACAGTAAAAATTAAATCAGAAATCTACACTGGGACTGTCTGTACTTCCATTGAATTTATTACACAATCCGGATTTTTCATTTATAACTTGCTCTCCGTATAAGAGCCTTTTGCAAATGTAATGGAATAACTTTTGGAGAACTTCCCACCTTCCAGGTTTCATGGAAATCCAAGATTAAAGGTAAATTGGTTTACTATACACACCACACCACACTCCACGGTTCACACCACTGTTGCGGAAATATCATGAGTCCAACGATCCACGATGTCAGTGTACAATATATAACTCAAACAAAATTAAACATGTCTGGAGTGAATGCGGTATAAGTGCTATCTGTTTGAGGTGTAAATCGGGCCGTGTTAGGTCGGCACGGGCAGAGCCTGCATGTGGCCCGTATAAAATGTGGGCCATGCCGTTTTGGTCTATGAGCCATCCTGGTCCGTGCCTCCCTCTTCTGAAATAATTTGAGGGTCAGCCCAGCCTGGCACAATCCGTGACTTGAGCCCGCCGAGCCTTAGGCTAGGTCCGGTTGTGGATTGAGCCAAACTACGAGAGGTCTATTTAAAAAAATTGAAAAAAAATTATATATATATATTATATAATTATCACATATGAATTAATTGTAATGCATATTGGACCATGCCGGTACATGGCCTACGGGCGACATGGCCCTCTCAATTGCGCCACGTTGTGCCAATTCATAAATCTCTAAAACCCTAAACTCAGCACAACCCATGTATTGTCGTGCAGGACCCGGCGGAACAATCCGATTGGTGTACACATCTTATTCGTAGCAGACCGTTGATCAGCTGCAATAATTTGATGTTGTCTCGAGGGGCAATCAAGTATATTTAAGATTTAAAGATATGGGGTTTTTATAGTTCAGTCCACTTATTTCAAATATTTATTTGACACTAAATTATGCAGACCTCTCACTTGAATGTATATGCTCCTCAATCACTCCAACATGGGGTTATTATTGGTTGAAGTGTTTTTAATACAGCCATCAAATGCAGCTAATTTGAATTTCAGATCCCTCCTCTACATAAATCAAACCAGTTTTGGTACATGGTTTTAGCCCCACAGTAAAACTGTGAAATCAAGGCCCTCTTATGTATTGTTGTGCCTCATCTTGAATTAGATGAAGTAACATAGTAATGCTAATAACAGTGGGGTCATAAGGATATATCTAACGAGTTCACATCTCCGCCTCACAATACATCTCTGTCGTGTATTGAGAATATTTGAACATTTTTCGATGATAAATCAAACCAGTTATCATTGAGAGATATTCTCAATACACGGCGGAGATGTGCTGTGAAGCATTGTAGGGCGGCTCACTTTTGCTATGTTCTTTCGTGTTTTGGTACCATTAGTGTTTATTATGAAACGTTTAGGTTCGATTATTAATTTAATAAAAAATGATGTTAAAAATATGAATTGTCATGTCATATATGTATAATAAAAAACAGTGTTGGTTGATCTATACAAATTGCTGTTGCATCACTAATTCAGATGGTTCAACTCTAAACAGCAATGATCAGCCCCGACAAGCATTTTCTTTTTCAGTTGAAGTGACTCCTTGTGCAAGTGACAATTCATCAATTTCTATTTTTGAACCCCAAAAGTTTCATCATCAATAAATTGCATTAATGGTACCAAACGTAATCTGAACTAAGTCTCTCATTCCAAAAATGGTTTAAAACCGGCGATATTACTACCTCATCTCATCGTAGGGTGGCATTCAACTGGCACCTAGTGGAATTAGAATTTATTAATATATATGCTAGCGGAGGGGCCCCTATTTCGCAGGGGCTGGAATTATTGCTATTTATTATATTAAAAAAGATAATAGTTTTTTAATAAGAAACTTCTAATTATAAGTATTCACGTATTGAAATTCATATAAAGACTTAAAAGAAATCATCAGGTGTTCATTTTTTAAATATTATTTCAGTAAAGCATGTCATATAAAAGAATTAATATGATCATACAGTGATAGTTCTTAGTTCTACTTCATAGATGTCCTCTATTTCACATCAAGAACTCCCAGTTGACCCAGATAGTAGGACCTGTTTGGCTTGAGAACCGTTCAGACAATTGGTTCCGTTTTACTCCAAATCCGGTCCCTGACCAAAAATTGTTGAATCAATCAATGACTCGTTGACTTGGGCGGCCGACCCCTTGTTTAGCGGTTTTTGGCCATTTTTTATTTTTTAATTTTTCAATTTTTGTTGTTAGAACGGGCCATCTGTTTGAACTGTCAACCTGGAAACCGGTGGCCAGAATGGTTCTATTTATGGGTTGTTTTTTCTAGATATCAATAATTAGACGAAATAACTTTGTAGTCATAGTCATGGGAAGGGTGGACATTGCAAGGGATTCCAAAACCTTGAAAGATAAATCCAAAGTGACCTTAAACACAGAAAAAAAATAGCGGTAAATCCACCAAACTGGAAAACCCAAAGAAAAAAAAAATCAGAAAGTCGAGTTCAAAGTTCCGCTTTGAAGCAGAGCTAAACATATATGCAATCAAAGAAAGAGACAAAGTAGATCGTTTTGTAAGAAGATAAAAACAATAAAAAAAATCGCACAAGAAAACTCAAAGAAAAAATAAAATGGAATAAATAAAATGGTGGTAAACCCTAGACCGTTTTGAAGGATCTTGAAGAAAAAGACCAAACATACACCAAAAAAAACTAAAGCAGAAAATGAAAAAAAAAAGTAACATACTGCACGCTCAAATAAAACCAATAGTAGAAGAAACCTTTGAATAGTGAAAATCCAAAAGCCCAAAAAACCATAGTTTTCGAACCGCCGTTAACCCAGACGAACAGACATTTTTGCCTAGGAATCGTCCAGGAAACTGGTTCTGCTTTACCCCAATCCCAGTCCCTGGCCAAAAACTATTGAATCGATTAACGACCCATTGACTCGGGCGATCGAACTATCGACTTGTTGACCCGTTCAATGGTTTTTTGCTGTTTTTTTTTTATTTTTGTTGTCAGAACGGGTTGTCTATCGAACAAGACGATCGAGCCGCCGTTTTTTTAATTTTAAATTGGGAACCATCCAAGCAATCGGTTCCGTTTTACCCCAATCTCGGTTTCTGGCCAAAAATCGTTGAATCGATCAACGACCCATTGACCCGAGTGGTTGAACCGTCGACCCATTTAATGGTTTGTGGCCATTTTTTATTTTTTTTAAGTTTTGTTATCTGAACGGGCCGTCCGTCGAACCGGATGGTCGAATTGCAGTTTTTTTAATTTTTTTAATTGGCAACCATCTAGGCAAGCGGTTCCATTTTGCCCCAATCCCGATCCCTGGCCTAAAAACCGTTGAATTGGTCAACGACCCATTGACCCGAGCAGTCGAATTGTCGACCCGTTCAATGGTTTTTGGCCATTTTTTTATTTTTTTAATTTTTGTTATTAGAACGGTGTGTTCATCCATTCGAACCGGACGGTCGAATTATCGACCCAAAAACCGATGGCTAGAATGGTTCCATTTTTGAGTCATATGAGTTATGCACTCAAATGACATAACACGAATAATACTACTTAATGAATCTCATACAATTTTTTCACTGTAATGTTTGTTGTGAGAATGGATCATCTATTCGAACCAGACAATCGAACTATCAACCCGAAAACCGATTACTACAACAATTCCATAACTTTTTTATTGTAATTTTTGTTGTAAAAATCGACTATTCATTCGAACCGTCGACCCAAAATAGGTGGCATATATATATATATAATAACCCCATGGCAAGAAACCCTAATTTGGTGCAAATTTCCTGGTTCCCTTTTCTAAGCTGCACAGCCAGGCCCACCACGTTGTCGTGTTAGAATGTCGGAGCCAGCAGTGAGAAGTCATTCTAGTACAGAGTTAAATCTTTGCATGTTTAACCGACCTCTGTCATTACAGGTGAGAGATCATAAATCAGCGGGTTGTGGCAGTGCAGAGTAAATGTGAAGCAACTACAATCTGTTCAAACACTTAATTCTATTTCACCTGTTTTCTGTTTAAATAGCTTGATCATCACTGGCAGTTCTGCCCCCCAAAACAACTGAAACAAAGGCGGAGAATTTGAGATTTCCATCGAAGAGTAGTTATCAACAATGGCTTCAGCTGACCAGGAAAAGCAAGCTCAAGCAATGGAAAACTTAGAAGGATTTCCGCCGCTTAGCCCTCTCTCACAAATCATGCACTCCTTGACCATCATCGTGGTCGCAGGATTCGACGTGCCGTTCGACAAGTCTCAGACCGTGGAGCTGCTTAAAGCCATGCACACCACGTCTGATCCTCGTCTTTTCTCCGTCATTGTAACGGACCGAAAGGGTGTTCATCGGTGGAAGAAAGTTACTCAAGTAGCTTACGAAGACCACATCTTCGTAGCTTCGTTTCCGGAAGGACTATCCATGGAGGACTACGACAAACATTTCAAGGACTACTTGACCAAAGTATCTGTGACTCCATTCTCGGACAATCTTCCCCCATGGGAGGTCCATGCGATCATGTATCCAACCAGCAATGGCGCAGGGTCTCTGGTGTTCAAGTTCAGTCACGCGCTGGGAGATGGTTACTCGTCGTTGGGTTCGATCATGACGCTCTGCAGACGGGAGGACGACCCATCGCTTCCCATTACGTTCCCTTCTTCCACTTCCAAAGCAGGAAGGAAGAACAGCTGGTCAAGGAGTGCTTCGGTGTTGATCTCCTGGTTCATTAACACAGTACGAGATTCTGCTGTGAGCACGTTGCAGGGGACGTTTCTGCGAGATGATAAGACGCCGATCCGATCGGGGACGCCGCCGGTAGGGCTCCAGCCCATGGAAATCTCACCTGTCTCATTTTCTCTTGATTGCATCAAACGAATTAGGTCCAAGCTTGGAGCAGTAAGTTAGCTGAACTATCTCTTCCCGCCTTCTCCGCCGTTTTGTTTTGCTACCACATGGTTTTAGCGCAGGCCTAAAACTGTGAATCATTGCCTTTCATGTATTGCTGTAGCGCTCTGATCAACAACTTATCTGGGGCCACAGTATGATCGACGGCTTTGATTACGTGGTTTTAGCGCAGCGATAAAGCCATGTAGTAGCAAAAGTGGTTGGTTTTTTTTTTCCGACTATTTTCTGTAGTGTTTTTCTTTAATTTTAATTTTGACAAAATTATTGATTCCCAACTTCATAAATTCATCACTCTTACGGAATCTTACATGATATGGTATAAGGATAGGGTACGTGTGTATCGTAGGTGGGGATTAAAATAAAATGAAAAAGACAAAAAAAAAATTATGAGGTGAGATAAACCATAATTTAACGACTTTTGCTACAACATGATTTTAGCATTTGAGTGAACCCATCCTTAATGGGGCGTTCTTTTTTCAGATTTTTAGAGGGGGAATGTTTCTTTTTCATATTTAATTATGTGGGAACCAGGGAAAATTTATTTTTCTAGGTATCTTAGGTGGGTAAAAATAGCTTTCTCACCTAGGGAAAAAATTGACAATACAGCAACACTTGAATGGGACATAAATGACTTTTTTAATTATAGATTTTTATGGCTAAAATGGCTTTTGCCTTATTTACACGAGAAATAAAAGAACATGGGTAAGTGTTTCCTAGGAAAAAATAGGTATCTTAGGTGGGTAAAAATAGCTTTCTCACCTAGGGAAAAAATTGACAATACAGCAACACTTGAATGGGACATAAATGACTTTTTTAATTATAGATTTTTATGGCTAAAATGGCTTTTGCCTTATTTACACGAGAAATAAAAGAACATGGGTAAGTGTTTCCTAGGAAAAAACTTACCCAGGTAGCTGCATTTACCTGGGTAAGTTGGAAGTCCCCGTGGCAGTGAATCATGTCATAACAAAAGTTGGAAGTCCCCATGGCAATTGGGCAACTTATCACAAGTGAATACACCAATGTTTTGTATATACAAGCAGTGTCTTCAATGCATACCCACTTGCATCCCATCAGTTGTACAATCTAGTATCTTAAAGTTAATGTACTCTATGTTTTATATTTTGGTATGCATGATTAGCATGGTTGTGAGGTAAAATAGTAACTTTAATTAATATTTTTAAGTAAAAAACAAGGATCATTTACTAAAATACCCCCATAGTTTCATAGATTTACTAAAATATATTTTATAGTTTGCATTTTATTAAAACACCTCCTATAGTTTGTAATCTATCTACTTAATTGACCTTCAATTAGTATATGACTGGAAAATGACAGTTTTGACCCTAATGTCTATTTGAATAAATTTAATCAAAAGAAAATAAAAATAAAAAATACTATTTTTGCCCTCTACCAAGACACAAGCAACCACTGTATTTGATTATATTTGGTCAATTTTGTTTTCTATACAAAAAATGTGACGTGTACTTTTTTTGGAATAAACAGTCATGGATCTATGCCCTTGAACATTTTTCACTCAGTTTAGATGATGATGTTACTAATTTTAAATGGCAAAATAAACACTTAATTGGTAAAAGTTGATTAAGTATATAAATAGGTTGTAATATATAAGGGGTGTTTTATAAAATAAAAACTATAAAATTAAAATTAGGTTGAAATAAATGCATGAAATTATAGGAATACTTTAGTTAATAACCCAAAAAAACATATAAGAACTGAATGGGGTGATATATCATGTGCAGAAAGACCCTAAACAGCCTGTGCTGTCCACAGGGTTGTTGACAGTTGACACCTCAGTCCATACAACAAAAGCCTCATGGACAGCCAATTATTACTTTGACACAAAGCAGTAGATGTAGATGTGCTATTGTGGTCTCATTCGATTGGCTGTCGCAGTGAATGCGAGCTTCTTCTCTATCAACGTTCATGCAACCATGATTTTTTCTACACTAATTTTATCCATGTAAATTCCGTGCAATAAGTAATAGTATTGAAAAGTACTAAAGTCATGGCTGCATGGACTGACATACGGATCTGCTACAAACAGAGGTATACACGGACGGAGTACCTAAACAATTAAGAATGAATACACCGGCGAAGTGGGAATCTGCTACCAATAAAATAGAATTCCTAACACGTCTATCTTATTATAACTCTAAATTGTCACATTTCATTTTAAAACTAAAAATAAAACAAAATAGATTTTATTAACTTTTCGTGTTTATATGTAATTTTATACAAAAATAATTTTATAAAGTGATTTTATAAAAAAGACTTTTACGAAAGTACTTTTTACAAAAGTACTTTTACATGAAAGTACTTTTATGAAAACACTTTACAAAAGTGCTTTTATGAATGTATTTTTACAACAGCATTTTTACACAAAAACACTTTATGAAAGCACAAAAGTATTTTTATGAAAGTACTTTTACGAAAACACTATTATGAAAGCATAAAAGCACTTTTACATGAAAGCACTTTTATAAAAGTACTTTTCTGAAAGCATAAAAACACTTTCATAAAAGTACTTTTATGAAAGCATAAAAGCACTTTTACGAAAGTACTTTTATGAAAGCACTTTTGTGGAATTACTTTTATAGAAGTACTTTTATAAAAGTACTTTTGTGAAACCACTTTTACGAAAGCACATTTATAAAATATGCATTTTTTTTTGTATTTTCTGCTATTTTCTGTAATTTTTGGTATTTTCTACAGTTTTTTGGTGCTTTAATGCATAATTTTTGCATTTTTTGGTGTTTTTCATGCATTTTTTGGTATTTTTTGCATATTTTCTAATTTTTTCTTCAAAAGTTCTGAATTTTCTGCAATTTTTTAAATATTTTTTGCATTTTTCTGCATTTATCTACAATTTTTACATTTTTCAGTATACGGGTTGGCCTGACTTGTTTTTGTCACGTGGCAGTCTTGAGAGAGATTATTCTCTCAAAAGTTCTTATTTTGGGTATATGGGTCGTCTCAACCCATTTTTGTATTTATAGATGAGGGTAGGTGGATTAGTATGGGTGAGGGTGGTTAAGGGTCAATATGGATGGGTCAAGTGGGTTAGGGTGGGTTATGACCCTTTAATAAGGATTGATGAATGATGATGGGTCATGGTGGGTTGGTATTCAACCCAATCCAACCCACCCATTTGCCACTCCTAAGTCACGATTCAGTTAGTGAGTCTATTTTTTAAATCGAACCAGGGTTACCTTTTTTGGAAAACCGGTAACTAAAATCAAATCAAAGTCAACCAATTAACCGGTTGACCAATTTGGTTAATCATTGGTTTGGCTAGTCAATTTTTCAGTTTTTTATATTTACAATATATTATAAAAAATATATAAATATATAATAAAAAGTTAGATATATATATAATATTATATTTTAAATAATAAATAATATATTATATATTATAAATATATATATTTATATATAATGCATATTTATTAATTTATAATACATAGAAAATATAATATATATAATATACATAAAATATATAGAAATATATTTATACTGGTCAGTTTGGTTAATCGCCAATTTTCTATATTGGTTAACCGAAACCGAAATGGTACCTTCGATTTTTTAAAAATATCGAACTAGCTGGTTCGGTTAACTAAAATTTCGATTCTATTTCAGTTAGTTATTTTGTTCAATTTGATATTTCGATTTTTCTTGCTCACCCCTACTACCAACCCTGTCCCATATTGGGAACATCTCTCCCTTATCATCTGAGTCTGGATCACCTGCCAACAATATGCATTCCAACAACCTAACAACATGATCTAACACCACACATCTCATACACGGTGGGTGGATCCACACTTTTATAGTGAGTCCTAGTCTCATGGTGAGATGTGCGATATTAGATCAAGTTGGTAGGGGGTTAGAATGGCCCGTTGGGACGTTGTTGGCATCATGTCTTGGTAGCTGAATCAAGCTTGCAAACAGTATTGGATCCACGCTGTGTATAAAGATCACTGGTGTGTTCATCAAAGATGGTTCTATATCTGATTTGGATTTAATCCTCACAAAAACAGTCCTCACACCTTTTAAAACATCTCCAGACTTATATATTTTTTATTCATGTCAATCTAATAATATGTATATAATTTTTGGCAACGTTGTAAGGTCTTCTTGTAGGGTGATATATTTTCAACTTTTGATGACAATGATTTAAAAGCCTAATCATGTTCAAGCCCACTTTTTTACACTTTCAGGTACAACCATGTATGAGCCGATTTGACATAGTTATTAGGGGTTTAATAACTATGAAATTAAAGTTAACAAAAATGAGTGCTGAAATTAGGGTTGCAAACTTGGTGGGTTCATCAACTTGAGTCCGATCTCAACAATTAGGGGTGAGAAAATGGGTAAGTTCTACTCGAATCAAATAGAATCGACTTTGATCCAACCTTGAACTGACCCTATCAGGGCTGGTTCTTGGGTCTAGGGGATTATCCTACTCGAACCATTTCAATGAATCGGCCTTGGGTTGGCCATGGTTGAATCGGCCTTACTTTGAAATAAATTCCAAAATACTTTTGAGGATGTGAAGATTTGATTTTATACATTCATGGTTACAAAAGCTATAGTTTCACTTGACCATTGAGTTACTTGAGTGATTTGATCATTTATTTTCATTTTAATATTTGAATGTGTATAATAAGTAATGTAAAAGGTAATATTTACATAATTTAAATTATAATTATAAGTTTCGAACCACGTATTAATATATTATGGTAATGTATATATATTAAATTATTCAACTTAATAAAAATATTATATAAGTTTTAAACTATATATTATATTTATTGAAAATTAAGTTTTTAAAGAACATACCATTTTTTTGAAGGGGGAGAGTAAAGAAAGAACAAGTTCCACGAGTATACCTTAGAACTGCCAAGGACTGACCTTCACAAGGTAAGTTACTGGTTCCAAAAACTTACAAGGTAAGATCCAGGTTCTGTCTCGAAACTAAACCGTACCGACCCACGCTCATTCCTATCACCAACCCAAGCTTATGCATGAATTGGGCTTGACCAGTTCTAGATTGAGGGATGTACACTACCCCTGTTGTGTAGGCCCATGGAGCCAAAAAATCAAATAAAAAAAAGTTAACCGCTAATTCTATATGCATGGATTGGGCTTCAATTCATGGGTTTTAGCTTGGGCCTAGGCCTGAAAACTAAGACTTTGACCTAGTGTTGGGACAGACAGGCCTGAAGTCTAGGTAGGATTGGGTCAGCGTTAGCCTTAAATCTTGCCTAACCCATGCAAATTGCTACCTTAGTTAAAATATATTTAACCTGCTAATTCTACATACATGGATAGGGCTTGAATTCATGGGTTCTAGGTTGGGCCTAGCCCTGCAAACTAGAGACTTTGACCCAGGGTTGGACCAGGCCCAGGCCTGAGGTCTAGGTAAAACTTATGTGGAGTAAAGTTTGGAGTCTTATGACTTGTTTGTTTGTTTGTTGAACAGACTGTGAATGATGTGGTGATTGGGATATTATCATACGCCATACAACTGTACATTCAAAGGATGGATTTTATTTCTAGTGGGGCACGCGTAACGGCATTGATTCCTTTAAACATGAGAATGCTGAATGGATATCAAGACATTGGGGATATGTTGAAAGCTAATTTATGGGGAAATCGATTTGGTTTGTTGAGCATATCACTCCCTTCATTCAGTGATGAAGAAAAAGTTGATCCCCTCCACTTCATTACCAGCTCAAGGGACAACATCAGAAAGAAGAAGAACTCCGCTGCTGTTCATTTCTCCAGTGGATTGCTTACAATGCTCAACAACGTTCTGGGCCCAAAGGTTTGACATTAATTCGAAAAGCATCATATCTCTAATTAATTAATCTGGTCCTAACCCGGGCTGTAAATGATTCGGATTTGGATTGGATTCAATTACATAATGGTCCAAGTTGGTTAATGAAATTTTGGTTCCATTGATCAAGATACTCGTATTCTTTTTTTTTTTTAACGTAAAATCTACAAACATTTTATTTTTCTTAAGTATCCCTTATTCATCTTCTAGGTGGTTAAATAATTTTTTCACTTGGATGGAAAAAAAATTTTCCTTTTTATAATAACTTTTTATGATTAAAACAGTTATTATCTTATTTAGCTAAAAAATAAAAAATAAAAAACATGGGTATGAGTAAAAGAGGTAAATAACTTTCTGAATAGCGAATAGGGCCTTGAATTCAATCCCATTATTGAACTCTGTAATCTGAATCCAATTCAAAATCCAAAATATTGAACTTGGTTAATCTGAACCCAAATCTGAGTATGTGGAATCAGGTGTCGGATTCTTCCTGGGTAGAAGAAAAAAGAGAAAATGACCACTGTTTTTGTGTATTGCATGCAGGCTTTAGCTGGATTTATCAAATCTAGTTTCAGAAACACAAGCACAACAATCTCTACAGTGGTTGGTCCGACCCACAAAATATCACTTGAAAATCATCCAGTCAAAAGATGCTACTTCACAGTGGTCGGTGCTCCTCAGGTAATTGGAATCTCATTAGGTAGTTCGTCCCTTTCTGCCAAGGTTTTCGAACCGCCATTGACCCGGATGATGGGATCGTTTGGCTCGGGAACCGTTCAGGCAATCGGCTTCGTTTTACCCCAAATCTGATATTTGGCCAAAAATTGTTGAAAAAGTCAACAACCTGTTGATTCAAGTGGTCGAACCGTCGACCTGTTCAACAGTTTTTGATCGTTTTTTTATTTTTTAATTTGTCTGTCAGAATGGGCTGTCCATTCAAACCGGACAATTGGACCATCAACCCGGAAACCAGTGGCCAGAATGATTCCTTTCCAGGTCGATTTTTAAAATGTTACTTTCTACTATAATCGTATAAGCTGCCCATAGAGCGTGCCCCACAGCCCATCCCCTCAGTGCACTGGGAACATCTTTCGTGTTTGTCATGGGGAGATATTCTCAATGCACGGACTGAAAGAGAAAGTTGGGGAAAAAATCATCAAGGAATTTCTTGATGAATTGATTTAAGAATTTTCCCTTACTAATAAATCATTGAGAAACCAAACACAGCACTAATTTCCTTACGCGTCTATTTCCTCTCTTTCCTCTTGGGAAACACTAGGACACTCATGTAATTTTAATTTTATGTTGTTCTTTTAAGTTTTAACCAAAATGTGGCAAGACTCAGACCAGATTGAATGTTCTACAAAACACAGTTTTCTCCAATTGATCAGGCGGTTGAACCGTTCACCTGTTTCTGGTTTTTACCATCCGGTCCAATTTGAGTCTTACAACACTGCTTTTGAGTCTTACAATAAATCAAAAGCAGCTTTAAGCTTTGTAAACTCTAGGCCTGTTTGGCGTGTCTTTCTGTGTGGTCTTTCAGCTGTTTACAAGCCGAGAAGACCGATTTTCAGTCTATTTCTGTTTGGCGTGTGAAAGATCTAACCACCAAAAGACGGAATGCCAAAAAGATGTGAAAAGCCCATTTTGGTCTTTTATTCTCGTGCAAAAAGATGCATGGAAAGACGTGCATCTGCCAAACATGCTTCAGGCTGCTCAGATCTTCATGCAAAAACTCAATGCATCCTTTGATTGCCAAACGGGCCCTCTATAAACTCTGTTGGGCTTTGACGTACATGCTTTCTGTTTTCTGTCGTCGTGACCATTGCCACATTTGTCAATAAAACTGAAATATATTCTTTAGTTGTGTTTTAGGGACCGGATCTAGTAGGCACAACATAAGTGAGCATGTTAAAGTGGATTTTAATTTTCTTCAAGGGTGGGTTGAGGGGGTCCGGATGTAGTAGGCACGTTAGGTAAGCACAATGAGTGAGCACGTAATAGCTGTGTGACACATGTCCTAATTAATGCGCCTTTCTTCCAAACATTTTTGCTCCGCTAGACATAAATTATCCATTATTTTATTATCTTTGTCAAAATAATTAAAAATAAAAAACAATGAAAAAGGAAAACGTAAATGAGTCCCAACACCCAACATGTCTAGGTTTTTTCCTTTTTCATTGTTTTTATTTTTAATTATTTTGACAAAGATAAAATAACGGAGCAAAAACATGTGGATGAAAAGCGCATTAACTAGGACATGTGTCACACAGCTATTACGTTCTCACTCATTGTGCTTACCTAACGTGCGTACTACATCCGGACCCGGGTTGAGGGTATTTTAAGGGACAGGTGTCAAAAAAATTTTCAAGTGCTCATTGAACGTACTTACAACGTTGTGCCTACCTGATCTGAACTATGTGTTTTATTGTTTTGAAAAGTAAAATCAAGTTCGTTTTATTAAAAAAACATTAATATTTTTGAAAACATCAAAATAATGATTTTTAAAGCAAAACAAAAGAAGAAAAGACTACATTGGTGGTTTTTTGTTCTCTTCCTAAACCTTTGCATGAATTGGGTAAACATTAATTGGCTTTCCATTATCTCTTGTTTGTGTTTTTTACTTGTTTTTCTATTTTCCTAAACCTTTCCATGAATGTTATATTTGGGTGTTAAGTTTAACAGAAGGTTTATCATTATCCCTTTCATGAATTCATCATTTAAGAGAAGTGATTATTGATCTTTTATTGTGTTTATTTGCTGTGGTTGGAACTTGGAACAGGATGTTGTGTTTACTATAGCAAGTTACATGGAAGAACTTTGCATAGTTGCAACAGCGGAAAAGTCATTTATCGACTCTAATGTGCTGATTTCTTGCGTGAAAAAAGCCTTCGAGGACATTTATCAAGCAGCTTGTGGGATTAATAAAGTAGAGTTGAAGTGAAGATTCGCTGTCTTTCTACATGAAGTATCTATTTTGTTTGAGTGTGATTTTTCTTTGTTAGCTTGTAAAAGGTTACTAAGTTATTGTATTAACCCCAAACTCATGGTACTACAATATAAATAAAGAGGAAAAATGACTTCTTCTTCTTATAGAGCCAATGCAATTTGATCCCAAGTCTATCTTGCTAGTTGCTACAACCAGCCAGAGAACTTACCATCTTAGCCATCATTAGTTAGTAAAACGACTTCTATTTCATTTGAATATGTATGATGTTTCTCAAGTGCCCATTTAGGAGGGCTTTTACGACTTCTGCTTTGCATGGTGGACCTCACTTTAAAACCCTAAAATCTGTTAGGTGAAAAACCGGAAAAACTAGAATATGCTTTAATGAGTTAATGAAGCAACTTTTCAATGAAGCTAGTTTGTAGTTTCTACAATGCGATTCACTCAATGCAGTTCAATCAAAGCTGAAGCCCTTCCAAACTATAAATCTTTTAAACATTTAATAAAAGTACCCATTTTGATATGAATATCTAGATATTCATAATGGCTGGGCAGAATGTTTACATATACCATTGAAACAAATAAAAAGTAAGAATACAAGGATGGCGCCCATAGAGGCAATCCAGGACTTGGGGGTGGAACAACTGACCAATAAACTAGAATCATAAACATGATAATGATTCAGGTGTTATTTATCAAAATTCATAGGTGGGTTTTGATTGGTCAAAATCATATCATAGATTGTTCCTTTTCTAATTACTATGGTTATACGCAGAGGCTTATGCCCTTCACGATGGTTTGAAGCTATGTCGGGACCTCAATTGGCTACATGTAAAAGTGGAATGTGGTATTCAGATTGTTGTTAATCTCCTCAATCGGATTGAGAATCCCCCCATGGAGTATCTTCTATATCTTTCATGAGATTGTATCTCTTTTCTTCATTGAGGGTTTCTATCACTCGCTCTTACAGAGAAGTGAATCGCCTAGCTGATGCCTTAGCAAATGAGGGAATCGAATCCATGACGAGAACAACTTACCTAGTGGCTTCTCAACTACCAAGGCATATCAAGATGCTTGTATTTGATGATTGCCTAGGCTTGCTGACTCTTAGATACTTTTGATTTCTTAACGAATTTCTGTATGGGTGGGTTTAAAAGTGAGCTTAGGTTTTCTGAGAGTTTATGTAATGCGGGTTGGGCATGGCAGACTAAGTCATCCCTGTTTCTGCTTTATATTTTGAATAAATTTTAATTAAATATTAAGGTGGCCACCCCTCTACCTGGAGTAAATTTTGGGGTTTGAAAAAAAATATATATACAAATATCTAATACCATGTAAAGCATATACTTGCCTTGCCTTGCATTTTGGGGTCCCGGAATGATACGTATCAGCCGATACAGACCAATACGTGTCGATACTTTAAACCTTGGATGGAACAGATTGTTGATTCACAAGATTAATGTGAAAAAACAATGGGAGAGGATTGATAAGTGATGACGGTGGTGGACAATTGGAAGTGGATGGCAGAAATGGAGGTCTCGGTGGAGAAGGAGATGGTGGTGCCGGCAGTCAACGTCCTACACAATCACTTAGGCTGTGGTCTGCTGGTGCTCAGGTGAAGCTTAAGCAGAGGTGGAAAACCTTGAGCCAATGAAGGAATAAGATAGAGAGGACATTTGACATCATTAATCTTCTTGCACATGTGAAATACGCACACGCTCTTATGTTAACATGGCGTCCTGCAATGCAATTGGAGTGTAGGAATTTGTGCAGGAGGTCCAAACTCGAAACTCCTTGCCGAGGATGAAAATTTCCCCATCCCATGGGGAAAAGGTACGGTAACTACGAGAGTTTGGCCAATCAGAATCCCCATAGCAGGACTTTCTTTTTTATATTAATATTATCCACCTGCAGCATATTAGTTGGTATCCCCTGCATGATGGGAAGGAAAAAATAAACAGATCTAACGCTGTCCTAAATAAACTTGTTACAATTATAAATTTAGATCTTAAATGCGTCTTTCGAATTCTAAACAAAAATTTAGGCATCCCTATAAACCACAGAAGAGGACCCAAATATGTAATGAAATGCCTCTAATCGTAAGGATCACATTCTGTAAGCCACTTTGAAAAGGTCCACTGCCAATGTTCAATTTTGAGAGGCTGATATCTTCAATGAGATTGTGCTAGACCGCATAAGAATGCCTTGGGCTGTAAACAGTTGCACAGTGCACACATTTTTGTTGGAGATGGACTTGAGCGAGTATTTCGGAAGAGTAAAACATCCTGAACAACCATGTCGAAGACCCCAACCAAATCCGTTGCTTCACTTCCTGGGACTCGATCTGCAAATTCATGACAAAATATTATTGTAAAGGTTCATCCTTTGTAGTGACCACCTATCCCATGAAATAGTTTTAATAGATGCAGTTCTCACAATAACTCAAGGGAGTTCATATTTCACGTTTCCAAGGTAGAGACCACAAGCAGGCGCCATGGGACTTGCAGCTGTCACTGTCTTTGCATCCAAGATCCTTTCAACTGAAATAATTAATAAGAATTACAAAGACCAGTCTGATATAAAGCTAATTTGCATCATTTATTTCCATGTATAAGTGCATAAAGCAAAGTTGGGTATACCATCAGCAGTAGTCAGATTTCCAGTGCCAACAGATTTTAGAACACCAACAAGCAGTCTGACCTGGCAAAAGTTGAAGTTTCTTAGCAGAGACACTTTATAAGTAGTACGAAACAAGCTAATACAACTATGCACTTCATTAGTGATATCCTCATTGATTGAAAGGACACTTAGAATTTAATCAACTGTTGATCTTTGATTTAAATGATGAATTTTCTTTCAAAGGTTTTGTGGTTAGTAGTCAATGCACATGTTGATGAACATTTTAAAAACCCAAGCATCACAATAGGATAGCATGACACTGATACTTCGAGACAATAAGATATGAGTTCATTTCTTAAGATGGTTACGATATGATTGAGACCTTTACTTATGGAAGATAATTGTGAACAACATACAGCTGGCATGGTATAAAGATTGGATGACGACTAAAAATGTAGAAAACTTAGAAAAATATTCTAAAGAGAAAAGGGGAAGCCACAAAAGAGCGAAGCTTGATTTATGTAACTCTAGTATAAAGATTGGATGACAACCAGTAGGAAAGAGAATAGAAAATCAAGAAGAAAATAAGAAGAAATAGAGAAAACACCAAGATTTAACATAGTCTAGCTCAATAGCCTACACCCATGGGAAGAGAAGGAAAAATATCCACTATGAGAACAAGAGATACATGGTTTACCTCTCTATAAACTCACAAAAAAATATCCACTCTCACTCAACCCTAATCCCACACAACCAATGGCTTCAACAAGAAAAAATACCAAATTATATCAAAATTTCACACAAGCCCCTCTTCCATAAGTCCCCAAAATCAACATTACAAATATACCCTTATAACCTCCAACACCCTCCTTGAAAGAGAAACCAAACACAACCAAATAAAATAATATCTTTTTTTTCAGTTAACTCAAGAAAATTTTATTAAGATTAGGGAATGAAAAGTACAAGAAGTTGTTAAGTGAAAGACCCTTTACAGCAAAGAACTCCACACACATTTAACATTGCATCTTAGATTCTTGAATAAGAAGAAAATCTGGTTTTTCCTTTCTAAGAAGTTCCTTAAAAGATCTCCTTTTTGTTGCACTTCCTAATCCCCTCACATTCCAACTGATAATTTTCATTATGAACCTTAATCAGGCAGCCCTAACCACCTTCCTCCCTATAATCCCCCTTTTCTTCTCCCTCCCCTAGCACTGAACTCCTTATCCCCTTTTACATCAATGATTAATTTCTCTACAAAAACTTGTAAAAAAGAGAGAAGGAAAAGATAGATTTGGATCATGTGAGATGCCTGGTATGCCTTCCCACTTTACCTCTCCTAGTTCTTGGATTGTGGATTTTGGAGCTAGTGCTCACATGACTGGTATGCTTTCCCACTTTACCTCTTACAAATTGGCTCCAAGGAAAGGTAAAGTCACTGTAGTTTATGGATCTCAAACTCCAATTTTGGGTTTGGGTGAAGTCATGCTCTCTCATAATCTTTCCTTGAACTCCATCCTTCATGTTCCTTAGTTGGACAAAAATCTTTTATCTGTTATCTCCCTTACCAAATCCCATAATTGTTCAATGGCATTTTTTCCTTCACATAGTGTTTTTTAGGACCTAAGTACAAGGAGGACGATTGTTATTGGACATGAAGCTAGTGGAGTTTACCTTTTTGATTAATCCTTTAAGCAAGGATTATTTTGCCAAAACGAGTTATGTCAAAGTGAAAATGTAGAGAACACTAATGTGGACCCCACTGTGTTCGTATGTCAGCAATTAGTTATGATTAGGATTTGATTAGGATTAGTCTATTTCAGCTTTATCTTATCTTATTATCTTGCCATGTAAGCAATTCAGTCCTTTTACAATTATGATACTATGTATATAAGTTCAAGAGTGGGGCGGCTGTTTCTAATAACAACCACTCTCTCTTTTCTCAAAACCTCTCTACGAGTTCTCTCTCTCCATCTCTCTTCTTCTCTTCTCCTTTTCTTTTATTTTCTGTTCAAAACCTAAGGCTAATTGTAGTCTTGTACGACTACTTGGTAGCAGAGCAAGATCTAGGGCTTCTCATGTGAGTCTGATCCAGCCAACCACATGAGAATTGCCTAGGACTGGAAGAATAGAAAGATCTTTCTTCGGTTGATTCTTGGAGGTTATCAGAAATTGTAGCAGCTGTCCAAAGATTGGATCATACTCTTGATAATCAAGAAGAATCGGAGAAAGATAAAAGGTTCAAGATTAGTTTTTTTATCAAGACTGGAGGTGGCGATCAGAATTTCAGAGGATTTCTGGATCAAGATCAGTGTTTTTAGAATTTTCTGGGTAAGATTTTATTCTTTCTTAAGACCGGCAGCAAGATTAGTTTAAGAGAAAATCCCCAAAATCCAGGAATGTTACTGTTTGGGATAGGTGATCAGACTTGCCTCCCTTGATTTAAGTCAACTTTTTGCTCTCTGGAAGTAGAGCTGTTTCAGGACTGTTACCACTGAATCTGATTTCTGTTTCTAGGCCACTGCTATTAGTTTCAAAACCCAGTAGGCGGACTGATACAGTAGTTAGAAGGTTTTTTTTTTTTTTTTTTTAATTACTGAATCTGGATTCTGCTTCTAGACCTACTGTTATTAGTTTCAGACCCAGTAGGCCGACTGTTACAGTGATTAGAAGGTGTTTTTGATTAACCCCTAATCAAAAATGGAGTTTAAGAGCCAAGGGGAGGGTGTTTCTAGAACTGGTTCAGGTAACATGACTGAAAACACTTTCCAGATTACAACTGTTAAGTTTGATGGATCAAACTACTTAGAACGGGCCCAATCATCCATGATGGCCATTGGGGGTAGAGGAAAACTGAACTATTTGTTGGGGAATGTGAAGGAACAAACTAAGGAGGATCCCACTTATGCTAAGTGGATTCAAGAGAATTATTTGGTGATGACATGGTTGTGCAACTCTATGCAGCCACACATTAGCCGAAACTACTTATGGGCAAAAACAGCCAAGGAAATATGGGATGTTGTGAAAGAAACCTACTCTCAGCCCCTTAATGTTGCTAGGGCTTATGAGATGAAATGTGAGGTTAAAAATCTCAAGCAAGGAGAGAAACAGGTCTGTTTATTTTTCAACCTTGAAATCCCTGTGGCATGAAATTGAACACCTTGAAACAATTGAATGGGAAAATCAGAAGGATGCACAAACTTACAGAAAGCAGGTTAAAACTAATAGAGTGTTTGAGTTCCTAGCTGGTCTGAATTCTGAATATGATATTGTGATACAACAGTTGTTGACAAGAGACGGTGTAACTCTATCCCAAGCTTATTCCCTAGTGCATAGTGAAGAGACTAGGAGAAAAGTTATGTTACAACAACAGCCTTTTGAATCAGCCCTGGCAGCAGTTAGGCCGAAATCTAGGGGTGATAAGGAGAGGGATATGAAGAAGGAAGCTAAGGACCTAGTGTGTGAGCATTGCAAGAAATCTAAACATACTAAAGACACTTGTTGGAAGTTGCATCCACATCTAATTCCAGCAAAACTCATCTGGCACAAGAGGCACTCCTCTAGACACCTTAGCTGTTGTCTAAGCTGCTCTAACTCAATTGGAAAATGAAGTTGGTAATTCAGCTCCTCCTACCTCAGCTTTTGCTCATTCAGGTAATCGGGTCTCAGCTTACCATGCCTCAGCTACAGGTAATACAGAACATTCTTGGATAATAGATTCAGGAGCATCTGACCATATGACTGGCTTGCCATCACTATTTACTACCTATCATTTATCTTCCGATAGAGACAAAGTGTCCATTGCTGATGGCTCCCTTGTTCCTATTTCTGACAAGGGAGATATCAAGTTGTCTAATGTCATTTCTTTATCTTCGGTTTTGCATGTTCCTAAACTTAGTACTAACTTGCTTTCAGTTGGTAGCATCACAAAAAACCAAAATTGTTTAGTAACTTTTTTTCCTGATCAATGTATTTTTTAGGACCTGGAGACAAGGAAGGTGATTGGGACTGGCCATGAGACAAATGGAATCTATCTACTTGGAGGGAGTTTTCATTGGGAAGGTAGTGAAACTAAGAGGTCTTTTGTTTCTCAGTCTATTGATCAGATTATGCTTTGGCATAATCGATTGGGTCATCTATCTTTTTGGGCTTTGAAGAGTTTGTTTCCTAGTTTATTTGAATCTATCCAAATGTCCAGTTTGAGATGTGAGAGTTGTGAGCTTGCAAAGCACTGTAGGACAACTTATTCGTTGAGTAACAATAGAAGTAGTATTCCTTTTGAAATTGTGCATACCGATGTTTGGGGACCTTATTATATCACTGCAATGGGAGGGTATAGATATTTCTTGCTGTTTGTTGATGATTATACTCTGTTTTCTCGGGTCTATCTTATGCATTCTCGATATGAGGTTCTAGCATTGACCCGGATCTTTCATCAAATGATTTTAACCCAATTTGGTGTCAAAATCAAAATTTTTAGATCCAACAATGCGAAAGAATATTTTGAAAATCCATTAGCCTCTTATTTGCTTGCCCATGGGATTATCCATCAGAGTACCTATCCTCATACACCATAGCAAAATGGGGTTGCTGAGAGAAATAATACACATATTGGAGGTGGCCAGAAGCATTATGTTTACCTCCAATGTGCCTAAACGTTTCTAGGGTGATGCTATTCTTACAACGATATATCTCATCAATGGAATTCCTTCACAGGTTCTTGACAAGAAACCTCCTTTTACCCTTTTGTATCATGATAAAGAGTTATTTACCGTTCCCCTCAAAACCTTTGGGTGTACTTGCTTTGTTCAGATTTTTGGACCTCATCATTCCAAATTTTATCCTAAGGCCTCAAAATGTATCTTCCTTGGTTATGCACAAACTCAAAAGGGATATTGCTGCTATGAACCAACTTTTGGGAAGAGATTTGTCTCTATGGATGTCACCTTCTTTGAGGATGTACCCTACTATCCAAGGGTTTCTCCTTAGGGGGAGAGTAGTGAGGTTGGGATTAACTCATTAGAAGTTCCTTTACTCGTTCCATTATGTGAAGAGGGATGTAATGGGGAGGGTTATCAGAGGTG